CAGTTGTGCTGGACAGGCAGATCTATGTGTGCTGGGACTATGATGGCAGCTCCTCCCTCAACTCCATGGAGACCTACTCACCTGAGATGGATAAGTGGACAGTGGGCCCTCATTGAGCTCAAATCACAGTGCTGCTCTGGTTACAGTTATGAGGGCAGCATCTGTGTGTTGGGCAGTCATGATGGTTTACAGATCTTCAACAGTGTGGAGCACTACAACCAGCACACAGGCACCTGGCACCCAGCTGCTCCGCAAGCACTGTTGGCACGAAGCTGCCTCACTTGGAAGCAAGGTGTTTTTCTGTGGGGCCTATGACAGTTCTGGCTTCCTTAGCATCACATAGGTGTACAGCTCGGTGACAGACCAGTGGAGCCTGATTGTACCCATGCACATGTGCCGGAATTGGGTCTCCCTTGTGGCCAGCTGTGGGTGCTTCTATGCTGTGGGTGGCTGTGATGTACAGTCAAACTCAAGTTTGGTGGAGATGTACTACCCAGAGACAAACTGCTGGATGTTTATGGCTCCCATGGCGTGCCGGGAGTGAGAGGTTGCTATGGGTTTCATTCCTCTCCTGACCATCTTAAGGCAGAGGGTGGGTTGTAGTGGGATAGGGATCTGGTACAAAAGTAAAGCACTTCCTTCCAGGGACAGTCACTCTCAAAGAGAGGTAGTGACCCAAAGAGGGAGTGAAAATGTGAGCTTGCCAGGGATATAGTTTTTCCAGGTGCTCAAGCCTGTCCTCACTGTGCTGTCATCATCAAGAGGCACAGCACAGAGCAGAAGCTGGGTCAGCAGCTGGTACCTTGGACCTGCCTTGCTGGTTTCCATGTGCATAGGCTGCATCCAACTACAGCTGCCACCCGCCACGGCTGTGTGGGCCCTCCCTGAACAGAGGTATTCTGGTGCTGCTCCTCATCGCCTGCTTGTCCTGCAGTTGTGCTGTGACCAGGTCACCGTGAAGAGACTGCAGGGGCCAAGCCTGTTGGAAACTGGGGTGCCACTGGGAGAAGAAGCACACACTCCCGGCATCATTCCTGCCCATGATGGTTCAGCCATGGCTTTGCAGCATACTGTTTCTTCCATCCTCACACACGAAGGATTGTCTTACCATTGTTGAATCCTCAGGAAATACAGAAGTATTTCTCATGTTTAATTTTTGGATTTCAGTGAGTTATTTTTTGTCTTGTCCAGGAGAAACTAAAAGAGAGTAAAAAACAGATACTTGAAAGAAACTGAAGGAAATTTAAACAAAGAGACATTTGAAAGAAACTGGAAAGAAAAATACTTTTTTTGGAGGCCTGGTACAGTAGCCTAGTAGCTAAAGTCCTAAACTTACATAAGCCAAGATCCCATATGGGCACCAGTTCTAATCCCGGAAGCCCTACTTCCCTTCCAGCTCCCTGCTTGTGGCCTGGGAAAGCAGTCAAGGACGGCCCAAAGCTTTGGGACCCTGCACCTGAGGGGGAGGCCTGGGGGAAGATAGGGGCTTCTGGCTTCAGATTGGCTCAGCTCCGGCCATTGCAGCCACTTGGAGAGTGAATCAATGGATGGAAGATCTTTCTATCTGTCTCTCTTCCTGTCTGTATATCTGACTTTGCGATAAAAATAAATAAAAGTCTTTTAAAAAAAGAAAAATAGTTTTTTTTCAAGGAAATGAGTTTTGTAGGAAGGGAAAAAACATAAAAGACACTAAGAACAAATCCATTTTTCAGTGGAGAGAACTGTCAGATGTGAAAATAGCGGTGCCCACTCCCACATTTGGATCCCAGGGTCCTGAGGCCTTGCATAGCACTTGGGGTTTCCTCTGAGCTTCAGTGTGTCTGGAATCAGTGCATTCTTGGCTGGTCCTGCAGCAAGGTGCCCTTGGGTTTGTTTCCATACCTAACATCAGAGGATTTTTTTTTTTTAAACTGTAGACTTAGTGAGTTGGCTGGGTTACTACCACTCTTCAGTTGGAAGCCTGACATGGCTCCAGATGCCCCTGTGGATACACTCCCACTGCCACAACAGCACTCATTCGGATTCTGCACTCCCACCCACATTCCTTCTCCTTTGTTGGCCAGCAGGAAACAGCAGCTTTGGCCAGATTCTCACCCGCCCATCTACTATTAAAAAATACTTCTGATTGTCATGTCGCTGGGCACATTTCTCCATTTGTACCTCCAGAACCTAACCAGGGGCTTGCTCCTTCTACTGGCCTTGGGCTGACACAGTTTGGCAACCTTGTCTGCCCTGCCATTCCACTGCTCCTCCATCCACTCACCAATCCAAGGGTTCCAAGGGTCTGGCATCCTTCCAGCTCTTAGCAGACTGACTGGCAAGGAGGACCCTTATAATCAAGTCGAGTTAGTTGTATGAACATGAAGAACTAAAGGTGGAAAGAATCTCTTGCAGTAATCTTGACACACAACCTCTTGAAGAAACTCCATGCTCCTTCCTTGTCCTTCCTGGATGGGACCTCAGTGTAGCACAGCAGGACCCAAAAAGGACACTTTCTATGACCAGTACACTGAGCAGTAGGGCTGTCCTTCAACTGCTGCTGCCAAAATCTAATCTTGTAAAATTCTTCTCTTAGAGACTAAAAGCATATGATTCCTTAAAACCCAAGACTGGGTCTTAGGGTTCCAGTCTACCCAATTGGTTTCTTGTCCTTTGTTGCCTTTCTGGGTGGCCTGAAAGCCTCTTTAGAACAGCACAGTGTGGAGCCCGGGATATCCCCATGCATCCAGGACAATGAGATGAGTGTGTGTGTGTGTGTGTGTGTGTGTGTGTGTGTTTATACACAATCACCATGTATACACAATCACCATGTATTCAGAGGACAAGACCCTCTGCAGCTTAGTAGCTTGGCCTCTGCTATAAGCACTTGAAAGGATGTTTTTGTTTTTAATTTTAAAAGACTCAATAATCAGATACCTGATTTTTTTTTTTAACCTGGGGTCTCAGTGGAGCTCCAGTGTTCCTGCCCTTCCTCCTGGTTTTCCTACAGAGGTATGCTTGGAAGAAGATAGGTGTTCTGTTTCCTTAGAAGTATATCAGTGCTCATGTGACTGTTAGAGTCCCTTTCCTTTTGTGACTGTGAAGCAGCACTGGGGAGCCTATATCGGGAAGGTGTCAGTGGATTCTTGAGTGTGCCCTGCTGGCTCCACAGGATGCTAGCCCGATTCTGCCAGTAGAGATCATAGACCATTTCTCATGGTCTGCTGCTTTGTAGTGGCCTTCCTGACCTATTCCTACCCTCTGGTGTAGAAGTTATACTGCTGCCCCTGAGGTCAGTGTTTCCATAAAGGATGGAACCAGTGCTTGAGCGAACACCAACTTTTTCACCTGTTCTCCAGTTTGAGAGCTGATGGCTCGTATGGCTCCTTGGTGTTGAAATCTTCCCAGGTGCACCCTGAAAGGATAAGGATCAGCCATGGATAAATCCACTAGTAAGGCATGAGTGATGTTGCCTTCCATGAGCCTTGGGGTCTAGCCCAGTTGAAGAAAGCACAAAATCTTCAGATCCTATACCCACGTGAGAGACCTGGAGGAGGCTCTGGGCTGCTGGCTTTGAATCGGAGCAGCTCTGTCCCTTGCAGTTGCTTGGGGAGTGAAGCAATAGACAGATCCTTTCTGTCTCTCCTCCTCTCTGTATATCTGACTTTCCAATAAAAATCAAACAAACAGCAACAACAGCAACAAAAACATGCTAGCTGGGGCCCGACACTGTAGTCTAGTGGCTGAAGTCCTCTCGTTGCATGTGCCAGAATCCTATATGGGCAGCAGCTCATGTCCCAGCAGGCCCTCTTCCCATGCAGTTCCCTGCTTGTGGCCTGGGAGAGCAGTCAAGGATGGCCCAAAGCCTTGGGACCTTGCACCCGCATGGGAGATCCAGAAGGAGCTCCTGGTTTCTGGCTTTGGATCAGCTCAGCACTGGCTGATGCAGCCACTTGGGGAGTGAAACCAGCAGATGGAAGATCTTTCTGTCTCTCCTCTTCTCTGTATATCTGACTTTCCAAGAAAAAAAGAAAGAGAGAGAAGAGAAAGGGAGGGAGGGAGGGAGGGAGGGAGGGAGGGAAAGAAATATTTGAAAAATGCTTGTCGGTTTAACATAATTGGCCAATTCTTAGAAATGTATGATGTTGAACAGGCTACTGCACTTAATCCCTTGGCTTTATCACATTAATCTGAGAACACTATCTGCTGTAATGAAATACCATATGTAAAGCTTGACATTATTAAATATTGTTATGTTTTAGTAAATTTAATGAGAACAATGCATAGTAACCTGGTCCTAAGACTCAGGCTTTGTTAAGAGACGGTTGTAACAAGTAAATACAAAAGAAGAAATACTAGGAGTATTTAATGAAAATATTACTATTTTAAACTTATATTGCTTAAACGTCTTTATGCGGTGCTTCACGCTGTTTCATGGTCAAGTTAATAGCTGACAATTGAATTTAATTTCCAGGCCATTTTAACATGTTGAATTTTCACAACTGTTCTGTATGATATTTTCATTTTATTAAACCTGCTAAAGATTTAGAAATTCATTGAATATCAAAGAGCATTGTTAGTATAAGAACAAATTTAGTGTTTGAGTCTCCATGTATCTATTCTGGTGGTGCTTCTATTAGGTCATGTTGCGTGAAGTAAACTGATGAGAATAGCACAGAGCTATGCAAAACTATTCATAATACTTTCAGAGAGTGAGTGTCTTTTTCTTGGTCCTTTAACTGTGTACCTTAATACAAAGAGACAATCTAAAAATAACAAAGATATAGAGAGGGACAGATAAGTCCAATGATACTTGAATGTAATTTCATTTGATCAAGAAAATTCAGTGGCTATAATTTCCAATTAAAAATACCTTTAGCAGAACTGAAAATCTTCATTTTCGTGATTAAACCATTATCATACATTTAGAACACTTGGATGATTCTAAAATATTTAGAATGGAGCAATTTCTTAAATGTTTTTAAATTTTATTAATGAAACTTTTTCCAATTCAACATCAGGCTGATGGTGGCAGAGTCTGCACAGAACTATGCTTCGAGGTTTTCTAGGAAAAACCTTTCGGCTTCTTGGCTATACAATTCAGTATGGCTGTATAGCTCATTGTGCTTTTGAATACGTTGGTGGTGTTGTTATGGTAAGTTTTTATATTCAAGAAAATTGGCTTTAAACATGCTTTTGTTAAAGGGAAAGAAAGTATATTTTCCTCTTGTACTTTAGTATTGAGTTAATGAATATAGTAAATCCAACACATAAAAATCTAGGTATTTGATAAAAGAATGTAATTGAATTGACACTGGTATAAAAATACAAAACTCCTACTTTTAATATTATGTTTGTAATATATGTTTTATATTAAATAATTTTGGTATATTTCTAATAAGAGCACAACATTTCTGAATAGCCTGTTAACGGTTGCTGTTATTTATGGACTGCCGCTTACTATTTCCCAGCATGTGTTTGAGGTTGTGTGTAGTTCACACACCTTGACATATGCGTGGTAGAAAACCATTATACACATGTAGAAAGGGCTCAGAAATCGAGGAACTTGTTCTGAGTACCGCAGTTAGTATTATCTGACTTGGAGTATCACACAGATTGTACCCCATTTCCAACCTGCCTATTCAGAATTACCATGCTTAACTGTCATTTAAAGACAGTATTTTTTTTTTTTTTGCTAATATGAATGTTAAAAATGTTAAAATTAATCCCAACCTCCACTGGCCCCCCATGCCCAACCAATGTGTGTTGTTAATAGTGTCATGAACCTACCGGGCATGGCTATTTTTGGTTGAGTGAAAGATAAGTTGATTGACTTGCAGCAAATGTTTTTGTTTTTGTTGTTACTTTTATTTTTTGTTTAGGATTATTCTAACAGATGACACTTAAGCAGACTTGCATTGAGCTGGAGTTGTATAAATATATTTGAATGAAACTCCCCCTCCTTGATTTTTTGAAAGTTACTTTAGTACTTCCAGAGATTTAAAAAAACACATTCACTTTATGAATATGCTTTGTTATTTCTTAGCGAGGTTTGACTAAAAAGTTTTATCCACAATAAGTGGAATAAATGGAAACTGTTGTTTTTAGAGTGGAAATGATCATGTGAGTTTGAGATACAGAGGTGTGTGTGAAAATGATTCAATTATTGAGACACAGAAGTATGAAAATCTTGAAAGGCTGTCTTACGTTGACAGTATTTTTTACTATACAATGTAAGTTGCAGCCTCAGTGTATGAGTAAATAAGGGAAACAACTCAGAGAAAAAAGGTTACTCTCAATAAGTTACATCATGAGCACCAGAGAATATTGGACAATAGCAAGTAATCGTTCATCAACAAGTATATGTTAGGAATGTTAGGCTAAGCACTGTAGTTGGCCTTGCTTATATGGCTGGAGATGTCCTGGTATTCATTCTACAGGTGATCAGGACTTGAAAATGTAGATAATGGTATTTTATTCATGTAGCAGTGTGATGTGAGTAAAATATTTGTTAAGATATTTGTATTTGTAAACTTGGTAATTACTTCGGAGTTGAACATATTTGTCAGTTTACTGTAAATCACTCCCCAAGCCTGAAGCTCCTTGTCTTGTGTTTCTTGTGAAGAGATAATCTCTCTTACATTTAAAGGTTTTTTTCTTTTAACTCAAATTACAAAATTACCTTTTTTTTTCAGTGTTCTGGACCATCAATGGAGCCTACAATTCAAAATTCAGACATTGTCTTTGCAGAAAATCTTAGTCGACATTTTCATGGCATTCACAGGTAAATTAAATCTGATGAATGTAATTAAATTAACAATGAAAATATACACAACGCATAAATTGTGTCTGTCATGCATTTTATCTTTAAAAACTTTTTTTAAAAAGATACTGAAACTGACAATCAGGCAAATAAAGTTTGGAATCAAATATTTTGCCTCAGATGGAGAAATTTTAATATTTTCTGTAAAGATAAATGTCTCCTGAATCATTTTGTTTCTTGTGTTATTAATCAGAATGGTTCACAGTCTCTTTTGTTATATACATGTATATATTTATGTCTATTTCACTTTTTTTGAAAGGTATACAATTTATTTTTCTGATTTACTGACGTATAGATGACACACACAATATAGCAACATGTAAAAAATACAATTTGTTGCTTTGAATCCTATATTGTTGAGAAACCATCACAACGATAAAAATAATGAACATTTCTAGCACCCCTGAAAGTTTTCTGTTTTTTACACTTCCTAAAGTCTACCTCCTTTCATTAGATGGCCACTGCTCTGCTTCTGCCACTGTCTACTAGATTTCCTTTTCTAAAATTTGAACAAATGGAATCATACAGTATAAACCCTTTAGTCTGACTTCTAAAACTCAAAATGATGATTTGGAGATTTACCCACTATTTCACTTTTTGCCAATTATCCATTCCCTTTCATTTCTGAGATACCAGCGACCATAAGAATACATTATGGCTTGTTTATGCGTTAATGCCTCATAGACTTTTAAGTTATGCCCAGTTTAGGGGTATTATAAAAATACTCTGTTATCTATATATTAAACACAATATAAATCAAAATCCCAGCAGCTGATAATTTTATCAAAAAATTGGAAATCTGATCCTAAAAATTTTTACTAATGCATCATGTGTTGTTTTGAATCAAGAATAAGGTATTGCATTGCATACTCATTTTGAAAAATGATTAATTCTGTTATTTTATTAATGGTTGTGTTATTTATTATAATCTATGATGACCCTTTGAGGGCTTTTAGATTATGATATTGTATATAGCTGAGACATGAATTTTACCTATTACGATTCTCCTGATGAATTATATCGATTGAATAACTACTTGGTGTGTATGGTCACTAAGCCTTTTAAAACCCCATTCCAAATAGTTGTTCCAGTCCCTATGGTACTGCAGTGAGCATTATTCCTTATGAATGGATGTCAAGCATTTAGTAATCTAATATAATTCTTAAAGGGCATCTATCTGATTTCCAAAGACTTTTTTGATTCTAAATTTTTAAATAATTCTGATAAACCAGTAGTTGCCAGCTTTTATCTCATGATAAGTAGGTTTAGCCATTCTTGTTTCACTGTTCAAAGCCTGTTCCATATCATTAAAAAAAATTGTTGGGACTGGATTTTTGGCTTAAATAGGATAAGCCGCAACTCACAATTCACTACTGGCATCTCCTATGGGTGCAGAGTCAAGTCTAGGCTGCTTCATTTCTGATCTGGTTTCTTGCTAATGCACTTGGGAAAGTAGTTTGTAAGACACATGAACTTGAGATAATCATAGTCTCTTATCACAACAGATAATCATTTAATGAGAACCTAGTTTTAAGGTATGCTGTACAGTATAGACCATGTAAACATAAATGAAGTATTGCTACTTCACGTCAAAAACTTACCATCAACTGGAATAATAAAATGTTTGTATTTCTAAATGAGAAGGAAAAATTTAAGACCTAGCCTTATTAAGTTCCGTTTAAAACTGAAAGAATTTGAGATGTAGCGTAAGCAGATACTGGCTTGCAATTCATTTGTGCTAGCCTATAAGGCAAACATAGCTAGGACTCAAATTTCAGTAACTCTTGCTGACTAATATTTTTAAAGATGCATTTATTTCTGAGGAGTTACAGACAGGAAGAGGGGGAAAGGGAGGAAGGGATAAAGAAAGAGAGTAATTTTCCATTTGCTGGTTCATTCATCAAATGGCTATGACAGCCAGCAATTGGGCAGGCTGAAGCCAGGAGCCAGGAACTTCATCTGGGTCTCTTGTATGGGTGGCAGAAGCCCAAACACTTGGGTCATCTTCTGCTTTTCCGATTCCATTGCCAGATTGCTGGATTGGAAATGGAGTAGCTGAGACACAAGTTGTCGCCCATAAGGGATGCTGCCGTTCCAGACAGTGGATTTACTCTATTGCAGGCGAAATTTTTTTTTTCAATTATTTTTATTTGAAATGTAGAGTTACACAGAGAAGGAGAGATACACAGAGAAAGAGATCTTCCATCCACTGACCCACTCTCCAGATGGTTGCAGCAGCTGGGGCTGAACTGATCCAACAGGAGCCAGAGCTTCCTGCGCGAGCGTTGGCTCAAGGACTTGAACCATAATTTGCTGCTTTCTGAGGCCATAAATAGGGAGCTGTTCCAGATGTGACTTTGCTGGGACTTGAATCGATGCCTGTGTGGGTTGCTGGTGATGCAGGCAGAGGCTTAGCATACTGTGCCATGGCATCAGCCCCCACAATAATTTTTACATTGTTTATTTTGTATAATCTGTACATGATGTTATAAATGCACAGATGAGCCTAACAGAAAACAAGTTCCCACCCTTTGATATAAGGCATATGTATTTAGAACTAAGCTGTAAGAATATATCTTATCAGACAAATGCAAAGTATAACCTACTTTAGCATTTTTTTCTTATAAAAGAACTTTGCTTAATTATAATTTATTTCAGTGTTGCTGTTTAATTAGAGTTTTAGTGCCTTAGTGCTTATTTGATAAAAAAAAATTCGAGCCATATGAAACTCTCATGAAAGAAGTCTGTTCTTTCAGCGTAGCTAGGATTAACGTGGACAGTGTTGTAAATTTATTTGTCCAAACAGCTCCACTGACTTCAATTGATTGACAAGGGAATAGTTTATCTTGTTTTCCAAAGAAGGCAAGGTTATAATGCTACAAATTACAACATTTAATGATGTGGTGATTTAATACATTTCATCTCTTATCAAAAATAGCCTTAAAAAATTATTACTCTTGGGGCTGGCATTCCTGTATAGTTGGTCAAACCGCCTCATGACGTACCACTGGCACCCAATAGGTGCACATGTTCATGTGCCAGTGGCTCCTCTTCTGATCCAGCTCCCTGCAGATGGCCTGGGAAAAGCAGCTGAAGGTAGCCTAATGTTTGGGCTCCAGATGGGAAACCCAGAAGAAGATCCCATATGTTGGCTTTGGCCTGTCCAAGTCCTGATCTTTGTGGTCATGTGGAGACAGAACCAGCAGATACAAGATCTTTCTGTCTGGCGCTCTCTTTCTCAGTCTCTCCCTCTCTTTCTGTAACTCTTTCAAGTGGATAATCTTTAAGAAAGTTACTACTCTGATAAAACTTGTCGTGTTGTTTTTCCCTTCCATAAGAATCCTTATGTATTGCCCTCTGGTCTAGATGCTAGGAAAGATTTTGTGTTTCATCTCATACTAAATATTTTCTATTTATCTTGTGATCTTTTTATGGGAGTAATTTATTTTCAACTCACTTTAATATTTATGGATAACAGTTGTTTTAAGCTTAGTGTTCCTTTTTATTACATTTTGACATCATTTTGACATATATCTCTTACACATAGCATCATAATCTGGAATTAGGTGCAATTTATGAGCAAATATGTTAAATCCTTTTAAATATGTAATTTATGCAGCCTTAACATTTTATTTGCTTCTTTCAATGCTTTCATCAAATGTAAGTCTTTTTGATTCTGCTGTAAATTAGAGGAGTTATTTAACATATAACATATTAAATGATGATTTTACTTCTTTATTGTGCATTAGATTTGAACAGTGATATGTAAAATTAAGGACTTTTTATTTGAAAGAGTGATAGAGAAACGGACAAAATGCAGCAGAGGTCTTTTTGTGATTTAGTCCCCAGGTGGCACTGCCAGAGATGGGTCTGGCCAGGCTGAAAGCAGGAACCCACAGCTCCTTCCTGAGTTCCAACGTGGGTGGCAGGAGTACTTAGGCTTTAATCTGTTGCTTCTCTATGTGTGTCAGCAGGAAATTGGATCTGAAATGGAATAGCTGGGACTTAAACTGTCCCACTGGTATGAGATGCAGACAGAGTAACCATTGGCTTAACCCACAGGTTCACAATGCTGGCCTGGGCAGAAAAGTGTATTTAGCTAATTTGGTTTATTATGTGGAGTTGTTTTTCAATAGTGTTAAGTCTAAAAGTTGCATACAGAAGCAATGCACAGTGGCTGTAGTACAAATAAATAATTAAAAAAAATTTGAAGTATAAAACCTAAGACTATCAGAAAATTTAGGTAACTTTCCTGTTGTTCTCATTATTGGATTTGACCTATAAAATTCTTCAGAAAAGTCTTCAAAGCTAGAAAATATGTAGGAGGTTCAGTACATAAGAGGTTAAAGAATATGGATTTCTGTTGTTTTATAAAAATATTAAAGCAGCTTATGCTTAATAACATTTGGTGATGCTTTCGCTTTTTCCCCCCTCAGAGGTGACATTGTGATTGCAAAAAGCCCAAGTGACCCAAGATCAAATATTTGTAAAAGAGTGATTGGCTTGGAAGGAGACAAAATCCTCACCACTAGTCCATCGGATTTCTTTAAAAGCCATAGTTATGTAAGTAACATTTCAGATATGTTATTTGTTGGTATCCTAGATGACTAGCATGAGCTGAATATACTGACAGAAGAAATTAACTTCTAGTTTCTTTTGCATGTTAAAATATGATTCATTCAATAAAGTTCAACTGTGATTAAATGTTAAGGAACAGTTAGACCATTACAGAAATATTTGCTTTTAAAAGCTATGTAGAGTCTCAGAAATAATTATTGTATGCAAAGGTCATTGGTAGATGTTATAATACTGAATAAAAATTTGAAAAGAAATAGCTATTTTCACAGTCTCTGAGAATTTCTCCTAGAATGTTTATTATAAAGGGAATAATTGTAATATCCTAGTGAAGAACTTGTCAGATATTATGTTAATTGAGAAATCAATACCATTAATAACACATATACCCATGAATTAATGCAACAAGGAGGTCATTGTCATTTTTGTGGTGTTATTTTGAGAAATATGTACAACCTCAGTTTAACCATGGGAAACAAAACCTAATGCAAGATTATTTTACAATATAACCGAATGATGCTCTTCAGACATGTCAAGGCTATGAACAGCAAGGGAAGAATAAGGAGCTTTACAGATGGAAGAAAAAAAGCAGATAAAGTTAAAAGCAGTTAGAGATTCTGGCAGAAAATTGGTGACTGTCTGGTAGAAATTCTGAGAAAACCGGTGCTTGCCATTTAGCTTTTAAAAATAATTTGGATTTGTTTAAATTTTACTTCTTTTGATTGTTATCATTATATGATACAATTCCATAGGTCCTGGGATTTCCCTTATCTCCTCCCCAATTTCCTCCCCCTCACTGAATTTCCCTATATCTTTACTATAGTATAGTTTTTCATAAACAGTTATATGTGCATTATTGCGGACATGGACAATGACAGTGAGTCCATTGTCCTATTGTCAAGCTATAGTAAACTGTTTCATTGGGAGTCCATCTTCCTCTGGAAGTAGAGATGCATACTACATTGTATCCTCACATCTGGATATGATAGTCTCCATTGCACACTTACTATATATCCCCTTAAATGAAAAGCCACAATACAAAATCAACAATAGGAAGAAAATAGAAATTTACAATGCCGTGAAGTTAAATAGCATGCTAATTGGTTGACAGTCTCGATTGCACAGTTACTATACATGCCCTTAAATGAAAAGCCACAAAACAAAATAAACAGCAGGGGAAAAAAAGAAATTAACAACACTATGAAGTTAAATAACATGCTACTGAATGACTAATATATCATTGAATAAATGAAAAAGAAAATCAAGAATCTTCTTGAAGAAAATGATTTTACTACATGTTCTACGAGTCATTGAATAATCAGAAGAAAGTGTTTTGAAGAGATGAAACTAACAAAAAGATCAAAAACCATGAGATATAGTTTCTGCTGATCTTTATTGGTGAAATGTGTCTCCTATATGCAACAAATAGCTGGTTTTGTTTTTTAATCCAGTCTACTAATCTATGATGTTTGATGAGTTTAAGCCATTTACTTTCAAGGTTAATACAAATAGGTGGTAATTTGGTTCTGTCGTTTTAGCAATGGGTTGTTCATTGATTCAGTTTTCTGTTGTTATTTTACTGAGATGTTCTTTGCATTTGCCTTTGGTTTTGGTGGGCGCTGTTCCTTTTCTCTGTCAAAAGAAGATCTTTATTATTTGTAGGACAGGTTTGAAAGAGGCATATTCTTTTTTTTTTTAAAGATTTATTTTTATTATTTTTTCATTGGAAAGGCAGATATACAGAGAGGAGAGACAGAGAGGAAGATCTTCCGTCCAATGATTCACTCCCCAAGTGAGCGCAACGGGCCGATACTATGCCGATCTGAAGCCAGGGGCCTCTTCCAAGTTTCCCACGTGGGTGCAGGTTCCCAAAGCTTTGGGCCGTCCTCAACTGCTTTCCCAGGCCACAGGCAGGGAGCTGGAAGGGAAGCGGGGCTGCCGGGATTAGAACCGGCGCCCATATGGGATCCCGGGCGTGCAAGGCGAGGACCTGTAACCACTTGCGCCACCGCGCCGGGCCCGAAAGAGGCATATTCTTTTAACTCTTCTTGATTGTAGAAGAATTTTATTTCATTTTCAAAGACAAAAAAAAGTTTTGTTGGGTATGTTATCCTGGGCTGACAATTTTTTTCTTTTAGAATCTGGAATATGTCACTCCATTTTCTTCTGATTTACAGAGTTTCCTTAGAGAGGTCTCATGTGAACTTAAATGTCAATTGATTTTTTTCACGTGCACATAAGGATCTTCGATTGAAGTGAGTTTGATTATCATGTGTCATGGTGAAGATTGCTTTTGGTCAAAAGAAGATTGCTGTTGGGAGTTCTGTGTGTGCCCCTCCTGGATGTTGTTTCCCAATTCTTTCTCCAGATTAGGAAAATTTTCCTTGATTATTTCATTAAATACATTTGCAAACTCAGCTTTTCTTTCTGCATCTACTGGGACTCCCATAACTCTTATATTTGGCCTTTTAATAGTGTCTTTCAGTTCTTGAATACTCTTTTTTTGCATGATGCAGCTCTGCTTCCAGCTTTTAGTTTGTTCCCCGGTGACAGGAAATATCTTCCAATTCTGAGATTCTCTCCTCTGCTTCATTCATTCTGTTTGGAGACTCTCCACTGTACTTTTAATTTGCTCCACTGTGTTCATTTCTGAAGTATCTGCCTTCGTTTGATTCATTTCCAGTGTGACATTCCTTGAACTCCTTGAATGTCTGCTTTATGTGCTTCTTGTTTTTGGTAAAAAGTTTTATAAGGAGTATTTTAAACTCTGTGTCCCCCATTTTCTCTATGTCTTCCACAGTGAACTCTGAGGTTGGCAAAGGGTTTTGTTCCTTTTCAGGGAGTCTTCAGTAATATTCATTGTGCCTCTGTCTCTTCTTTCACTCTTGATTATTGCACTTTTGGTTAGCCAGATTATTCTCCTTGGGGCAGGCTTCTAAGCTGTGTCACCCACAATTCGATATTACTTATTGTATTTGGTACACAGTTCTTTGTTTACAGTCAGTTGTGCCACTCCATCCAGCGAGTTCCAGGTCTGGGTTCTTATGTTAGACATCCACCATGGTCTCCATAGCTCCACCTCTGGACTCACCAGACTCCACCCCCTGTGATCGTGTTTTAAAGTTGCACTGTTATCTATACAACCATTCTTCCACTTCTAGTTTGAGCAATTCCCAGGATTCCAGGATTAGGGAGGCAAGAGGAATCTTTTTTTTTTTTTAAGATTTATTTTTTATTGCAAAGTCACATATACAGAGAGGAGGAGAGACAGAGGTGAACATCTTCCGTCCAATGATTTACTCCCCAAGTGACCGCAATGGCCGGTGCTGTGCTGATCCAAAGCCAGGAACCAGGAACTTCCTCTAGGTCTCCCACGCGGGTGCAGGGTCCCAAGGCTTTGGGCCGTCCTCAGCTGCCTTCCCAGGCCACAAGCAGGAAGCTGGATGGGAAGTGGGGATGCTGGGACTAGAACTGCTGCCCATATGGGATCCCTGCATGTGCAAGGTGAGGACTTTAGCTGCTAGGCCATGACGCTGGGCCTGGCACCAGGAATCCTGTAGAGCTAGGAACCTCTTGAACGTTAGGTCTGAGGGCCACACAGACCTATTTTGATCCATATGGTGCCATAGTTGGTATTATTTTCCCTGTGGGACCAGTGCAATGCACTGAGCTCAGTGAGTTTGCTCACAGCTCATTGCATGCACAGCTCACTGTTGTGCCTGCATTCTTAAAGCTTTTGTCACACTGTACAAAGTGTCGCCTGATGTGCCACTACTAGAGTTCTTGATCTGCTGGCTATCAGGCCTAAGGGCTACCCCAATCTATTTTTGGTGGAAGCTTAGGATGCCATGTTGTTGCCGTTCACTGAACCAGAAATGACTTCACTCCCAGCTTTGTGCATGCACAGTCCTTTCCCATAGCCTTTGCCTCTGTACACAGAATGGGTCTGAATTTGGTTCTAGTGGGCATAATGGGCTGTGAAATCCACCTTGTTTTCGCACTGCCTGTCAGGGGCCTGCTGCTCTGTCTCTGCTTCTGGTCAAATCAAATGGACCAGCAGGATGGGCAGTTCTTTTTCTGGGTTTACCTCCTGAGCTCCTGGTGAATGCCCCTTCCATTGGTTGCTGGTGGAGTTCTGGCTGCCAGTGCAGTTCAGATTGCCACTTGCTGAATGCCACTGGGTCTTGGTCACTGCAGCACCACAGTGTTGTGTCCACTACTTTCACATGTCTGTCAGTCTCCAGGTGTACCTCTGCTGTTGATCTGCCCTGGAATGTAGCCTCTCTGTTTCACACTTGCTAATGTTTCTTTGTCTGTTTAAACGTGTCCTTACCCTATTCTGCCATCTGGATTCTCCGCCATAGTGAATTTGATCCGTAGTTCATCAAATAATGCATTATTTGCTTATGAGCCATAATGGAATATATCACTCAGCTCTGCAACTATTGTATGCTTATTGCTATAATGTTAAACTTACATTATTTTTTGCTGATGGTACTAATATTAAAGATGATAGTGTGATGTTATGTCACTGAAGCATATGTCACATTTAGTTATACCTTTTTATCTTCATATACCTTTTAATTTGTGAGATATTTTTGTCACTTAAAAACACTATTTTTTTTTTTTTAGGATTCATTTATTTTTATTGGAAAGGCAGATCAGGTTTATGGAGAGGAGAGAAAGAGAGAAACATCTTCTGTCTGTTGGTTCACTCTCCAAATAGCTGCAGTGTCTGGAACTGAGCCAATCTAAAGCCAGCAACCAGGAGCCTCTTCTGGGTCTCCCATGTGGTTTAAGGGTCTCAATGCTTTGGGCCATCCTTTGCTGCTTTTTACAGGCCATAAGCAGGGAGCTGGATGGGAATTGGGGTAGCCAGGAAACAAACTGGTGCCTCTATGGTATCCCAGAGCTTGAAAGGTGAGGATTGAGCCATCACGCTGGATCCCAAAATTATTTATTTTTATTTGAAAGGCTGAGAGACAGAT